TTATATTCTGAACCCCATGTGGATTTACACAAACTGAGAAAGTCAAAAAGTGTTACTTTGTGCCCTGCTCTCCCCTATGTATGCAATGTAGTCACTCGGTGGAACTATAATCATAAACTTACTCATTGGACTGCCATAGTGGGCTTACTCTGCTGAAACAGCAAAATGTATGATATGTGACATGACCAAGGTGATCATATTTCTTTCATGAAAACCAGGGACATTTCAGTGGTCAAAATATCAGTGAGTTCACACTTGTGATTATCCACAAATTAAAAAACGGGGACAATATATTTGTGTATGTTTTTGTTTTTTAATTGTTGTGGTTTCCATATATCAATAGGCTATCATAATTAGTTATTACAATGATGTTTGAGGATCAAACTTACCCTAGTTTATTAATAGGCCTACAAATCACAAAAAAATCATACTTTGAAAAAAGTAAAGAGTAACTATTGCAAATAGTAAACAGATCAAAATAGGATTATAACAAAATTATGACTTTACAACAACACATTAAAAATAAAACAAATATGAGAACATATGATAAATAAAACTGTATTTAACAAATATTTAACATTTTATGAGTGTATTTAACATTTTCACAAACTATGAGTATAAAGTAGGCTAATTACAACTTTAGGATTTTTTCCCAAGTTATTAAATGTTTATGCTTTTGAAAATTAATGTTTACTATCCCTAATCAAGCTTATTGTTTTGCATTTTAGGCTCACTCTGACCACAAATGCAGTGCAGTGCTTCCTGCAAATGTATTTGTTTAGTTTAGCCAATTATTTTTTATGTTATTCATAAGGGAGTTATGACATTGTGTGCAAAACAAAACTGCAACATTATCATGCCTTGTTAGAAAGTGCACACAAAGGCTATTACTTTGTTTTAACATGTATGTGGCATGAAACCAATAACGGCGTCTCCAGCTCCAGGGGTGCCCAAACTCGGTCCTGGAGGGCCGGTGTCCTGCAGAGTTTAGATCCAACCCCAGTTAGACACACCTGAACCAGCTAATCAAGCTCTTACTAGGCATACTAGAAACCTCCAGGCAGGTGTATTGAGGCAGGTTGGAGCTAAACTCTGCAGGACATCGGCCCTCCAGGACCGAGTTTGGGCACCTCTGAGCTATACAGTCTATGGGCTAAAGTCGCTCGCAGCGCCCTCTGTTGGAGAAAGTAATCGTTGTTTTGGGACAGGACACCAAAAACCGGGACAACCATGAAAGCTTCATGAGAGAGAGCCGAAATGTGCTGATTTTAAAGAGAGCGCGTAAAATCCCTCCTCCAGAGTCAAAGCGCTGGAAGAAAAGGCTGCCATTGTGTTCATGAATAGAGTCTGTATGCGCCATGCTTTGACATTTCTATAAATTAAGAAATATTGGTTTATAAAGCTTGCGTTTGTTTTCATAAACGTTTCTACTAGAATGAAGGCTCCGAAGCTCAGGAGGAGCTTAAAGTATTAGTTCACTTGCACTTCCCTGATAATTCACTCACCCCCATGTCATCCAAGATGTTCTGTCTTCAGTCACAAAGAAGTTAAGGTTTTTGAGGAAAACATTCCAGAATGTTTCTCCATATAATGGACTTCAATGCGAACCAAGGGGTTGAAGGTCCAAATTGCCGTTTCAGTGCAGCTTCAAAGGGCTCTACACAATCCCAGCCGAGGAATAAGTGTCTTGTCTAGCAAAACGATCGGTCGTTTCCAAATAATAATAATAATAATAATAAAAATGTATATACTTTTTATACATGCTGGTCTTACACTAGCTCTGAGACTTCAGGCATGATGTAATCTCGTTGGAAAGGTCAGGCGCAGTCAGCTCTTTGTCTGTGGTTCAAAAAGGTAGTGTATGGCGAAAAACTCCATCTCATTTTCTTCAACTTCAAAGTCGTCCGAAATCATTGTTTAACCTTTTTTTTTTTTTTCTGTAAAGGGCATTGTACTTTCTTTGCACGGTCGCTTTGTAAACACTGGGGCCTTACTTCCGCCTACGAATTGCGTGAAGTCGGGCTAGTGCAAGACGAGCATTTGTGGTTAAAAAGTATTTTTTACATCTATTTTTTTAAGAAAATGACGGATCGTTTCGCTAGATAAGACCCGTATTCCTCGGCTGGGATCGTGTAGAGCCCTTTGAAGCTGCACTGAAACTGCAATTTGGACCTTCAGCCCGTTGGTTCGCATTAAAGTCCATTATGGAGAAAAATCCTGGAATGTTTTCCTCAAAAACCTTAATTTCTTTGCGACTGAAGACAGAAAGACATGAACGTCTTGGATGACATGGGGTGAGTAAATTATCAGGATTTTTTTTATTCTTGAAGTGAACTACTCCTTTAACTGCGCCGCGTGTGTCCTTACTGGACAAGTAGAAATTAGACAACAGATAACCTCTATAAAAGCTATAATGATTATGATTGTTACTGTTTGGGCTTTTGAAAATCAATCTTTCAAGCTAGGCTTAACTGTCCTCCATCAGCTGTAATTGTGATGCCCAGGATTCCTGATTGTCTGTAACAATGTAATGTGATATATGGGATGAAATTCAATAACATGAGGAATTTTCTGAAGCAGGAGGAACCTCGTTCCTGATTACTGCAGAGAACAGCTCATCTTTTCAACACATGACAGATTGCAAGCTACGCCGTTTAAACATTCCTCCTCACAAACACAAATTATTTTAATCTGCACTACAGCGCCATCTGCAGGCCATAGCTGCAAACTACAATAGACTGTCCTGAATCTAAATGTGTTTATAATATTGTACAGTATAAATGAGAAACTCTGGTCTTGCAAAGTCTATAGCACTAATATCAACCATAACAAAACCACATATTAAATATGTTTTATTTGCGATGAAAAGCTCAACAAATGCCAAAACATTTTAAAAACATATATTTTAAATAGTATTATAATAATAATAATATAAAAACTATAAAAAAGTTTACATCATAAGAAATCATTTAATAGTCTCAGACTTTTGTAAATAAATAAATGAAAATAATGTAATTTTGATGATGCCAAAGCATTATAATATTACTTACATAATAATATAAACCCTGTATATAAGTTTACATCATAAGAAATTATTTCAAAGTCTCCGACCATTGTAAATAAATAAAACATAACTTATAAATAAATAAATACATTTAAAGGTTTAAATAAAATGTTGACAATGCCAAAGCATCATATGCCACTATTTAAATTAATATTAATATAAACGCTACATATAAGTTTTCTTAAGAAATTATTTAAAGTCTCAGATTTTGTAAATACATTTATAAATAAAAATAAAGGTTTTAAACACAAGGTTGACGATGCATAATCATTAGAGGCATTTATAACATTATTTAACTACATACTAGTTTACATCATAAGAAATCATTTCAAAGTCTTAGACTTTCCTAAATATTTAATTAAAAATATTCATATATCTTTAATTTGTATTTAAATTGAATAAAAAATGTAATAAAATAAATAAACAAAATTAAAGGTTTAATTAATTAAAGATTTTAGCAATGACATTACATTTCCTCCTCCTTCCTATTACATAGCATGCAAACCATTTTTTGGTACATATAAAGGTCCCACTTTCTAACTTAAAAATATTTGCCGTAACAAATAATTCCCTTATCAAATTGTATAATATTTATAGTCCAGCACATGTTGTCCATCCAGTAACTGTATGTGTGAGCATGCTTTTATTTATGAAGGACTTTAAAAGTCTTGGCAACGCAATTTAAATGCTTAAACATGCTGGGGTTAGAATTACACGGCCCATTTCCCTTCAGACATCATTAAGTTTCCTGCAAGATCAAACCCAAACATGGAGAGAAGGATGAGGAAAGTGGATGATAAAATGCATTATAAGTATTTGTGCCAAAACACTTGGTCTGTGTGTGTGAGATCCTGCACACATCCGCCACATTTAAAAGTCAGAACCAGACACTGAGGTTTTATTTTAGAGCTTCCTATGGCTTTCTCCAAACATAAACTCATGCACATGTGGGGAAAAGAGTAAACAAGAACTCACCAAACTTTTTCCATTCCCCGGGAGTCTGGCTTTAATGAGCTTTGCATAAACTTTTTGTGCCACTGGCTGTATTTGTGAATGTTTAATACCTATTTTAAAAACGAGGGGAAAAGTTGGAATATTTTTAAATACATTTCCAAGTTTTTTGCATGTTAGAAGCTGCTCAAATAAAGTAGGGAAATTATTTAAAATTCACCACATTATCACTTCATTTTGTTGTTAATATAACTTCCATCTTTAACTACTTTAAAGATTAATTAATTAGGGTTACATATATTATAAGCAACAGGCTTTGGCACATTGTCTGAATTATCAACTGTTACTTTTCTCATCGCCGGCCAGGAAAGAGCAATCAAACTAGTTTGCGATTACTAAATAATGCTTGTTATTTAAATACTTGTATTTGAGTTGTAAAGCGGGTTTCCATTTGATTCCCAGATACCAAGGAGATTAATCCAGAAATCCAGATTTAGATGCGCCTCAAACATTATTTGTTTGTGAAATAACAAACGCAAATGTACAGACTTCATATTGTAGGCATACAATTGCACATATAACTAGACCTGAAAAGCTCCAATTATTAATAGATACATAGATAGAATACAATAAAATATAATACATTCAAATATTACATCTGGACAAAATATGTTGTATCCTTTAACAAAATAAATCAAGGCACATCATGAGAAGCATATTCGTAATCTGCTGACGTTTGTGTGTACGTGCACTACGTCATCAAGATCTGCGTTGTTGCAGAGTCACTCTGAGTGGTTGAGTGTAAACAAGAGACTAGCGAGCGAAAAATCTAGAATATTGTGTAAGATTTATTGATTTATTCTATCATTTGTGAGAATTGACCGTACAGACGTAATATCTAGATCGCGTAATGCCCGTCGACAGCCTGTCATCGGGCGATTTAAAGCGAGTTTTCTCACAGATATCGTCTCTACACCCTGGCTGGCTAACGTTAGCCTGTTAGCTTTGTGAACAGACCCTCATTACAGGAGAACCAAACTCCTGTATGTCCGGGATTTACACGGATTTGGGTCCTTTAGCCGTAAGTATATTTCTCTAACGGTCTTTTTTTGTTGCTATATTTTGGTCAGGCAAAGTAGACACCGAATGTAAACCGCGCCAACTGGCCTGACGCAATGCTAAGCTTCATAATGACAAGTGTTCATGTGATCAGCGTTTCACAACATGAATCATAACTTGTCAAAGTAATACAAGCCGTGCTTTCATGGCAGCCTTGCTATAAATTCCATCTTTATGATGCACTTTGTGTCTGGCTTCTTTACAACTCAAGGCTTTGTGTTTTCAACTGCAAACAGGCTTTGCAAGGTGTGCATATGGAGGCCTGAGACAATTCACTTCATCACCACTAGAGGACATTCAGCTGTGTGCAGTGCTTGTGTGATGATTTGGGTTATAGAAAAACAATGGCTGTTAGCAGAAAAAATGGATACAATGGGCACGGTTTAGTGGTCAGGTACATTTTTACATAATAATAACAACAGACAAAAAACAGAATAAATCAAGGCACATCATGAGAAGCATATTCGTAATCTGCTGACGTTTGTGTGTACGTGCACTACGTCATCAAGATCTGCGTTGTTGCAGAGTCACTCTGAGTGGTTGAGTGTAAACAAGAGACTAGCGAGCGAAAAATCTAGAATATTGTGTAAGATTTATTGATTTATTCTATCATTTGTGAGAATTGACCGTACAGACGTAATATCTAGATCGCGTAATGCCCGTCGACAGCCTGTCATCGGGCGATTTAAAGCGAGTTTTCTCACAGATATCGTCTCTACACCCTGGCTGGCTAACGTTAGCCTGTTAGCTTTGTGAACAGACCCTCATTACAGGAGAACCAAACTCCTGTATGTCCGGGATTTACACGGATTTGGGTCCTTTAGCCGTAAGTATATTTCTCTAACGGTCTTTTTTTGTTGCTATATTTTGGTCAGGCAAAGTAGACACCGAATGTAAACCGCGCCAACTGGCCTGACGCAATGCTAAGCTTCATAATGACAAGTGTTCATGTGATCAGCGTTTCACAACATGAATCATAACTTGTCAACTAGTCCAATATGAATGATAAAGGACATTACAATGTTGAATTCTGCTTGTAAATAAGTCAATATTTTATAACATGATACTCAATTGGTTCTTTTATAACCTCTATGTAAAGGTTATTCTAAATGCTTGAATAAAGTTTCAGCCACTGCAGGCTTTCTTAATTTATTATATTCTTCTAATTGTTTGAAGCCTATGTTAATGGTTAAAAGTACCTGGCTGGGTTCAGATAAAAGTTATTGAGTGTTATAATTGCTATAACTGCGTTTGCTCTCAATGGTTTTGGTTTCAGTTTTAAGGCTGTCTAACATAATGGCTGCTGTGGAGAAAGTAGGCAAGGAGTGTGAGGAGGAGACACTACAGACCGCTTTTAAGAAACTTCGTGTGGATGCTGAAAGGTTTGCCGTCTTTTGATTTTGTTTCAGCTAGTTTGTCTCACAAGTTAAATGGAGGCTGACTGTTTTGGCAGAGAGGGCTTTTTTTGTGCTGTCCGGGTAATTGTGTATATTCCTTTCCAGTTCCACAACCGCAGTCCGCGTCTCTGAGTCTTTGGCTTCCAGACTGGTTGCTCGAAGCACCCCGGAAGGAGCCAAATCCAAGATGAGCTCCTCGAAAGATAACTGGCTTGGGTGAGGACTGCTTTAGGATTCTGACCTAGTTAACCCTTTAAACCCTGACTTAGGATATACAGGTGCATCTCAATAAATTAGAATGTCGTGGAAAAGTTCATTTATTTCAGTAATTCAACTCAAATTGTGAAACTCGTGTATTAAATAAATTCAATGCACGACATTCTAATTTATTGAGATGCACCTGTAATAGTCAGAAAAACTTCTTTTTTTTTTATGGAACAGGTTATTTAACATATTTTTTTAAAATTCAAGTTTACATATGTGTATTTTGTTGAGTATAATTTTTGATATGTTAGACCTTTATGGCTCATATAAAAGGATATAGTAAGAATTCAGAGGAAAAAACAGCTCAATTTCTTTCAAACCTAAACCCAAATTGAGCAAAAACTTGCAATTTGGTGCAGTTGCTGATATTTATATGACCAGAAAGTAAGATGAAATTCAGATAGCTTGTAAATCAGTGAAATCTTTATAACGGACTACTTACATAAAGTTATAAGTTGTCACTCTATATCTCACAATAATATGTCTTAAGATATTTAAATGCTTCATTTTATTATCAAAGTTCTGTAGTTTCAAAACACATAATATAATGCACTGCAATGGTGATTGAGAGATGAACAAATAAGTGTTCTTCACAAGCCTGATGATCATTTTTGTTGCTCATATTTGAACATGAATAATATATGTGTGGATAATCAAATCAAAGTTGTTTCAGTCCAGTACATTTTCATCTTGAAATATTACTAACAGTATAAAAGTTATTCGTATGTTTACTTTATAAAATCAGTAAAGATTTCAAAGCAAAAACACATGAACCACAAGCTGAAGGTGGACAGTTTTACAATTACACTAAAAGGTCTTTTACTTGATAAAAAAGTTTGAACTATCAATCAGATGACAAAAGGCATGTAGTAGATTGTGTACAAGTTTTTCAGCAAAGTGTAGAGACCTTAAAAGTTAATGTATCAAATAGATTTTATAGGATTAAAACAATCACTCAAAGCTATATTTTATACTAATATTTTCACCTTTATTCTTTACTATAGATGCACAAGAAAGTCATCAAGAGGAGTTGTGAGAAGCCAGCGACGTCGACGATCAAAATCTCCGATCCTTCATCCTCCAAAGTTTACTTACTGCAGCAAAATGTCTCCCCCTCCTGGACAGCTCAAACACAAGACCCCGCCAGAGCCCGACGACACCTGCGCCGTCAAGAACGAAGTAGCTTTCTCAGCTCCGTGCTCCACTGTATTCGGTGTCGTCGGCTATGAAACCCACCTCCCTTCTCCCAAGGGTCAGGAATTGCCCCTCAGTCCCAGAATGCCCTCGGATGACGAGAGCGCTGCCGAAAACAGGCTCACTTTAGGATGTAGGCCGGGATCTCGGGAGGCGGGCAAAGGTAATGCTGTTCCGTCTGACTTTCAAACTCTGTCCAAGTTGCAGGAGGCCGGTCAGTGTCCGTGCGGGCAGCAGGAATGCCAGTGTCCCGGTTGGCAGGGGGTCGAGGTGTACTCATTCACCGGCCTTCGAGATGTGATCTCCGAATGCGAGCGGAAGCTTCCCAGCCCGCAGGACAGTTCACCCAACAGCAGAACTCCCGCTGGGACGTCCAGCTCCCCTCGCTCTTGTTCCGAACAGGCCCGCGCCTATGTGGATGACATCACAATAGAGGACCTTTCTGGATACATGGAATATTACCTTTACATGCCCAAGAAAATGTCGCATATGGCTGAGATGATGTACACCTGAAAATTACATTTAATGAAGCAAATTAAAACATTATAAAGATGGATATTGGGTACTTTAAAAAAATGGTTTATTTAAAAAATAAATAAATAAAAGGTAGTAATGAAGATGTTATCTAAAAGCAATTCTACTTTATTGTCTGGATGTTCTTTCTCCAGAATCATGGGAGCATGACTCATTCTGTGATTTACTACTCTGTTTCCTTTGTTTTCGTTTGATTTCGTGATAACTGTTATGTTTGGTTTACATTTTAAAGTTGCCAAAGGTCTATCCCAGAGACCGCAGGTTTGATTTCACTGATATATGCAAACTTACACAATGCCAAGTAATGATTCTGTTCACCATGACAAGGATGTGATGTCATCTTATTTCTCAATAAAACAGCTTTTTGGGGATTGTTCATGACATTTGTTGTCTTGGACGTCTTGTTTTGCATCTTGCTGCTGCTTTAGTGGCTAAGTCACCAAGATGTTTTATTTCTACAGGAAATTAATAATAAATTCATATATGTTATGTTTTAAGTCATAAAATAAATGGTTTGCTAATGGAACTTAAAGGAACACTCCACTTTTTTTGAAAATAGAGTTAAACAGTTGAGTTTTACCGTTTTCTAATCCATTCAGCCGATCTCTGGGTCTGGCGGTAGCACTTTTAGCTGTAGCTTAGCATAGATCATTGAATCTGATTAGACCGTTAGCATCTCGCTCAAAAATGACCAAAGATTTTCAAAATATTTCCTATTTAAAACTTGACTCTTCTGTAGTTACATCGTGTACTAAGACCGACGGAAAATGAAAAGTTGCCCATGGTACGGCAGCAAATTTCCTTGATTATTACGCCGGAATGAGAGTATAGTTCCTAGCCATATCGGCCTAGAAAATCGCAACTTTTCATTTTCCGTCGGTCTTAGTACACGATGTAACTACAGAAGAGTCAAGTTTTAAATAGGAATAATATAGAAACTCTTTGGTCATTTTTGAGCGAGATGCTAACGGTTAGGCCTGCACGATTAATCGTTTGCAAACCGAAATCGCGATTTGAAAGGGTGCGATTTTCAAATCGCAAGAGCTGCGATTATTTCGATGAAGGACTATCAAATATGTAACAAGCATCTACGTAGTTTTTGACAAAATGAGCCTATTTTCAAAAAAAGTGGAGTGTTCCTTTAAGTTGAAATAATTTCAGTACTTTACAATACTTTGCTGTCTTCACCCATAAATGGCTGATGCATAGCTTTAATTTTCAAGAATTTTTCATGAAATTTTCAAAATAACATTATTATAACAACTGAAAGGACATAATTTAAAAGTACTGTAGTTTTGATACTTGCACATATTCATCAAACAAATAACATGAATTTTTTTAATTTTACCTGCCTATCTAAAGAAAGCTGTGTTACGTAAGGTAGGAGCTTCCTCTTTAAAAGAATGCATTTGTTCTGAATCATCAATAAACTGGAATGAAGCATGACCTACCAATCCAGTGTTGTAACTAGTACTGCGTGATCGTGTAATCCTCGTGATTTTCATCGTGTTGCTGTAAACGGCCACTAGGGGGAAGCACTGCACCATTTATTCACTTCACTCCACATACTGAAGGCCTGCTTAAGTTTTATGTCGGTAAGCGAAGGAGTTATTTTAAAACTTTATTTCATTCTCTTCTAGTAATGAAGCAATCAGCCACTAGAAGACAAACAGAGATTTCAGATAGCAACAATAGTTGCATATTAATGTATAATATAAAATAGCCTGTTCATCAGCAGCTGATTTTTGCTTATCATTTATGACAAGACGAAATGTTTAATAGAGATCTCATTTAACCACATAAAGAAATCTCCGTGCGACCCAAAAATAATACAAACCACTGCAGAATATCCCAGAAACCAATTTTGTTTTTATTTTTAGATTTTAGGGTTGGAGTCTTGATCTTGTGGTCTGGGCCTGGGTCAAGTCAAGTCAAGTCAAGTCACCTTTATTTATATAGCGCTTTTAACAATACAGATTGTGTCAAAGCAACTGAACAGCATTAATTAGGAAAATAGTGTCAATAATGCAAAATGACAATAGTAAACACAAATTTTTCAGTTAAAGACAGTTCATCATTGAATTCAGTGATGTCAACATCCAGCTCAGTTTAAATAGTATCTTTGCAATCAAGTCAACGGTATCGCTGGAAATGAAGTGTCCCCAACTAAGCAAGCCAGAGGCGACAGCGGCAAGGAACCAAAACTCCATCGGTGACAGAATGGAGAAAAAACCTTGGGAGAAACCAGGCTCAGTCGGGGGGCCAGTTCTCCTCTGACCAGACGAACCAGCAGTACGGAAAAATCAATTTAAGACGTAATAAAACAGACGATGAACACTATTAACAGCAATTATTAGAATGGTTTTGGGACGTGACCTAAAGACAACGATGAGTTAATAATGGGTCTCAAAAGAAAAATCTTGTTGGCTTATACTCAGTCCGTTTCAACATAATTTGAAATTCTGCAATGCATATAGAATTTTCTTGCTTTTAGTATATTCAAATGGACATCTTTCTTGAACTGACATGATTTGGCCTAGATCTGGACCTTAAAGGAATAGTTCACCCAAAAAAAATGAAAATTTGCTGAAAATTTACATCTACATCTTGGATGGCCTGAGGGTGAGTACATTTTGAGCAAATGCTCATTTTTGGGTGAGTTATTCCTTTAAGTTTGGATGGAACCATACATTCAAGAAGAGCTGAACCAAATGTCAATTACTTTATCAAATACTGCCATCAGGGAAGCGTTATTGAGTTCCGTTATGTAGAAGTAATCTCTACAAGAATTCATTTATACCTGTATCTATTAGGACTTTAAACAGTAAGTTGTTGTAACTGTGATGGTATTTTAGGTTTAAGGTTTCTCTCTCTCTCTCTCTCTTAATAATGTTGTTGTTATTGTGTGTGGTTGTTGTGTACTATTGCAGCTTTTAAGTCAAAGACAAATTTCCTGTAAAGGACAATAAAGAATAACTTAACTTAAATATAATAATTTAAGAATCAACTATTCAAACCCCCATTGCGGACACAAGATCTTCTTCTCTCAGATATAAGTATGATGCAAACATACAGAAAGGGAAAATATCCTACACGCTCACCTGACTTTTCCCATGTTTACTTTTTTTAGCTCGGCGCACATGGGCCGGTCAGGTGACTTTGTTCCTGTCAGAGGGCGAGAGAGACACCCTAAAGGGCATTCCAGTGAGGCATACCTTGTGTTTCCAACCATGTCACAGAGATATTATCTCTGTAAATAACCCATGTGTTAAATGTCATGGCATAAGTCATCTCTCACTTATCCGTAACATTTGCTTTGCATTTAAACATAAGTCTAAACCGAATTCAACAATCCACCCCGTTTTTTTCTGGTGTACTGATTTCTCTGCTCCTGTGAGAATGCAAGGTTGTATGGATTTTTACAAAAGGGGAACTGCATCAAAGCATACCAAGAAAAGCTATGGAAACACACAAAAGAGTCTGTTGGATGTTGCCAGTCAACAAAAGCTGCCCAGCTAACTAGTTTGCCTAATAATCAAGCCTTTTGTCAACCAGATTGAAAAAACACAGGGAATTGTGCTGGGAGAACATGCAGGCCGAGCATGTGCGGCTGCTTTTATTGTGCTGTCTGTTGTTTTGTTTGTCTGAAATTGCTCAGAGGTTGCTCATTCAGAGCTCATCAACTTTGATGTTTCTCTTAAAATTCTTTAAGAGAAATAAAAATAGGTATTAATGAAACACTTGTTATTTAGGGCTATAAATGAATATGAATAGCAGCTCAGATGATTTGAGAGAATTCAGTGACAAAGAGTTCATATTGTGACTTTTTATTGAAGATTTTTGAGTCTTAAATTAAATCACAGTTTGAGAATGTTGGGTTTATGAAACTGGAGATAAGTTATTTAATTTCATTTTCAAATAATTTCAAATTGTTCCAAATTATTATTATTATTTTAACAAGTTATTTTCATAGTAGTAATTTTGGTAATTTTCTCAGGAAAAAAACCCTCTAACAAACAGGTGACTTTGACAAAATCTCCATTTGTTCTCCATTTATTCTCATTGTGATCTTGGAGAAACAATATTAAAGAGACATTTCATTCATTTATTGTTCCTCCTTTACACATAATAACATTTTTGTGGTTTGTTGGTTGACATTTCATGTTCACACATCTCTAACAATCACGTATTTCAGATATGCATGTTTTAACCCTATAAAGCCTGACATATGACATAATAGTCAGAAAAATATTTTTTTTTTCTTAAAATTAAACATTTTATTGAAACTTTATACAAAATATTTTCTAAAAAAAATGTTTGCATATGTGTTTTATGTTTTGTATCATATTTGATACACCAAGCTTCTATGGCTCATATTATAGTATGATAACAAGGAACTCAACCTCAATTTTATTGATTGTTATATAAATGAGATCTTAAGTATAACAGATCCTTACATAAATATCAGTTGTCACTCTGTATCTCCCAATAATATGTCTTAGTAAGATGATATTTAAATGCTTAGTTTTATGATCAAACTATCGTTTCAAAGCATTTAATGCAATGCAATACATTGATGATGAGAGATGAACAAATAAACGTTCCCCAGAAGCCTGATGATCAAAGTTGATACTCACATTTTAACATCATTTTTCTAAAAACTGATGTATGGATAATCAAGTAAACCTAAGTTGCTTCAGTCCAGCACATGTTCATCTAGAAATATTACTAACAATAGAAAGGTCATTGTTATGTTATGTTATGTATATGTAAAATCAGTAAAGATTTCACAGCAACAAAAAACACGTGAAGCACATTTTTACAATTACACAAAGTCCTTTCACTTGCTAAAAAATAAGAACTATGAATCAGATGGCAGAAGGCATGAAATAGATTATGCACAGCAGGTTTTTCAGCAAAGTTTTGATCTTGTTGATTATTTAGAGGCCCTAGAAATGTGCATATCAGAAATGATACAGTAGGCTTAAAGGGGTCATATGATGCTGCTAAAAAGAACATTATTTTGTGTATT